CACTTCTTGATCTCACGAGAGTTTTGATCTGCAACATTCTTGTAATTATAATTTCGGCAGCAGTGTCAAAGGACAGGGGAATTCAATCGGGTTGAAAATCGCTTGTGCTAAGGATTTTCCTTTTCGTCACTAACAGGACTTATTCTTGAGCAGGAAATCTTTTTGTGTCGAGAGTATCTTCCTTTACGTCCCATGCAAGGCCTAATACAGAAATACAATTTGTTGTATTTTCACTTGCCTTCAAAGAAGGTTCAGTTTCTGAGAATAATCCAGGATCATAATTTTCAGGTGTATTGTACTGCCAGTCCTGAAGCTGAAATTTAGCATCTGACGTTATCCATTTTGCCAAATTCATAAATTTCTCAACTTCTTCAAAACTGTTGAAACTGGTCATGCAATTATCATCGTAAAATGATTCTTTCAATTTCCTGGCTGTCTCTTGGGTTTCCTCCTCCACATTATCCAAGTGATATACTATAGTAGCACCTAATAAAAAAAGGACTTGAAGTTACTCCAAATGGTACTCTGCAATGTCTATAGATCACTAAGTTAATCAGTTCTCAACTATTTATTTTTATCTCAAAAACATCTGCATTGCTCGAGCGCTGTTAGTCAGCGCCCTCTGTCTATCAGCTCGTGGTTTCGTAACAAATGCTGAATAATTGCTTATTATTGCAATATACAAAGACTAAATATAGAGGAAAATTATTATTGCATAAATAATACTGGGAGGTTGTTGCACAAATATACTAATACAGTCAAAAGTCTGTACTCCAGACTCGTCGGGACTTCGGCGATTCCGGATTGTCGGTTTTTCTGGATTATAGATCATCAGTTTAAATCTGGTAAGATGGCATGCAGAAATTATAAAATTAAAAATATGAAACCGTAATTTATGAAATAAAGAGCAATTATGATCTAAAGGGTATCAAAATTTACAAAAAAAAAAAAAAAAAAAAAAAAAAAAGCTTAATATTTATTTTACTTTATTAAACACTTCTTTCAATGCGCACACATGTAAAGCATACATTACGCATAGTCAAAATTAGAAAATTGCAATCAGAAAACTATTTGATGTGTATTCATGATATTTATAATGATGAGGAATTTGATTTAAATCATATCAAAGGAGTACATCCAGATGAAATAATAATTTAGTAAGGAATTATAAGCCGAATAAAATAAAAACATCTGCCCTGAAGATAAGGATTGTGCTTACAGATCAACTTCCAGTTCATTGCGCACCGCGTCTCCCCCCCCCCCCCCCCCCCCGCAGAGCAGCGTGAAATTGATAAACATATTTCGGAATGGTTAGAGAAACAAAGGATATGCCTTTATCAATTTTTTGCAGCAATTCCACTTTTTGTTTGATGGACATCGAAACATGCTTTCGCTTTGTAGATAGATCCTTTGGCAGCTCCAGAATCGGAAATTCTTTTTGACATAATCGAAAGTTCAAGCTTACTTTTATAAAATTGCTCTAACAGTCTGCAAAAAATAATAAGCCGGATCCAGTTAGAAGATTAAGGAACAACGCAATCTGCAACATTAACTGAAATAGACAATTAGATAATTTTAGCTTATACCGTCCATTATACATTAAGCGCGCATGCGTAAACGCATATGCTCATACATGCATGCGCAGAAAGTTTGTAGCTTTGAGGTCCAGATTATAGATAATTCCGTATTATGGACATCTGGATTAAAGACTTTTGACTGTTCTTCCTTTGCAAGATATATTACTAGTTTGGAAAATTCAGTAATCTTTATTTTAAAAATAGCAAGAAATGTAATGATTACATAATTTGTTGTGGTTATGCTGCAACTTAAATAGTAATTGAATAATTAGTGTAAGAAAACCAAAAAGAGTAAAACTCCACCAGATGTAATTCATAACTTAGAATTAGCATTGTGAGTTTGTTGAGGGGAAAAAGCTGAGATTATTTTAATATTACTTATTCTATGTATTTATATGTGTTAACATTTTATGTTATCTTCTTTGTATAATTGGTATGGCTAAAAAAATTGATTGATAACACTAAGAGTCAGTTGCCATGGTAGCAAATGATGTCTGCTCTCACTTTCTTACCATGTACCTTTTTTAAAATCAGAATGGGTGTAATAAAGTGATGGAGATCCATTTTTTTTAGAGTTAAATATCATTCTTCCTGCCATGAAAATTATTGAAAACAAGTATGATGCTCTGAATATATGGAAACAAGCAAAATAAAGTGTCTTAAATTTTTTTTTTCGCTATTTTATTTATTTGATTATGCTTTCTGATCATGCTGTTAAAGATGTTCCTGTTTGTTACAGTTATATCTTAGAACCTGCTTATACCTGGTAGGTGTTGTTATTAGAAACATTCTCTATGTATGGAGGCAATTAATGTATTTTAAGAGAAGTTCATATATTTGGTGTAGGAAATTTTAGTTTTTGTGTAAATTAGTTTAACTCTTATAGTTAGTGTTGCTATAGTAATTGTTATATCACAACTATAGCTAAAGCTTATTTGGGTTTCTAAATATATTTATCACATATATTTGAGGGCTTTGGCAAAGTCTTTGTGGTTTTAGGTTAACATTGGTCTCCAGGACTGTATATTTTCTGCTAATGATCATGGGATGTGCTGCATTAAATCACAGTCTTGCAGATTGTGCTGCTGAGCATTGATTTGCCAGCATTACAAACAAGCATTTTTTGTAAGGTTCCTTTATGTTAATAAACCAGTTATTTTCTGTCGCTTCTCCCTTTTGTTTTCTTGCTAGAAAGCAGATTAGTTGCCATGTATTTAGAGTGAAGTTTTTGGATTGTAAGACAGAGCATGTTCTGCCACTAGATTGCTAGATTAGATAAGATTTGTAATCTTTGGCCTTGCATTATAATTAATGATAGAGTTAACATCCATGCCGGATAAGTTTTGAGGCAGTTTTGCATTAATTGATTTGTATAATTTCTGGCTACTAGCTTATTTAAATTATACATTTGACTTTGCTACAAATGGTTGGCTCAGTTGTAAGCACCTTCTATTCTTAATTAGTTTTAAATAAAGGGTCTTTTCACACCCTTCTCAAGCTTCAGCTGTTACTTTAGAATTAGCAATAATTTGCTTAACATCTACCAAGAGTTTGGTCACTATTGAATGATTGCATAACACTCCAAATGCTATAGTTTTGCTGCAGTCAGATCTGTGTAACTCTGTTGGCATGAAACACTCTGTATATTATATGACTACTCTGTATATTATATATACAGAGTAGTCATTTATTCCAAGCATCATTGAGGTGTTTTTAAGCCGATGTAAAGTTAAAAAAATTTTAATGCTGCACTATATAAAGCATTTGTTAATATAAATCTATTTATTTATTATTTTTTAAGGTACTGTGTTGAATAATGTTGCATGTTTTCTGTGTATTTTTGCATCTAAATTTAAAGACTTTAATAAAGTTCTTAAAACATTAATTATTATTTGAACTGTTTATCAGCTTAGTTTGTTCTTAATATGTAGAGAAATATATGTATTATACCTGGTCTTTTATAACTGTGAAAAAAATTGTAAAGCAATTTCACCATTGAGTATTTCCTTTTTATGCTTAGTAGGTCATTTAAGTGGCATTAATTTTTTTTTCAGATTTCTTAAACAATAAAATAAATATTTTCATATGCCAGTTGAAATGACTATAAAAATTTTCATGTTTCCAATGTGGATGTCTTCAGTGTTCATTCTGTTATATAAGTAACTTACATTTTTTATTTTTTATTACTTTTAGGATTGTATAACTGCAGTAGCACAAGGCAGTTAGTGTTGTCTAAATACTAATTTAAGAACAGATAATTTTGCAATCACAATTTCAGTGGCAAAGAAGATAAATAAGTATTAATTTGCTGCAGTGAATGTAGTGTAATGAAGCTTAACCTATTATTATTATTAAGCATTTTCTTGATTAAATATGAAGTATAGAATAGAAAATTTAGAAATATAAATTTATATATTTACATTTTATTTGCAGCAAAGTCTATATACTTGTTTATTTGAATTTTTTACAAACAAATAAGTGAATGCAGTTTTTTTTGGGGGGGGAGGGGAGAAATTGTTTGCAGTTAATTTTTAACAGCAGTTGTGTGATCCTTTTTTTATTTATTTATTGGATCTTGTCTGAAATATTTTATCTTGTACTAAACTAACTTTTGAAAATAGAGGATTAATGTTTCTTCAGCAAATGGTGTGAATTAAAAAATAGTTTTAAATGCTTCCTTTTATTTGATAAAACTGCATACATTATGTAACAAAATGAACCTGTGGGTTTTGGTAGGCCATGAGTGTTTATCCATATGTATATATATAGAGAGAGAGAGAGTCAAAAAGTAAGAAATTTATGTTTCAACAGGACCAGTGCTAGACTTTTTGCCACTCTGTGTGGTCTCCATGGCTCTTAAATTTTGCCATGCTCTATGTCCCCAAATATGAAAAATTTGCTGCCTGATGCAGTCGTTCTGGCTTCAGACCTGGATTTTAGCAGTTCCTTATTTACATTTTCTTTTTGTTGATTGCCCAGGAGAAAAATATTTCAGGTTATGTTACTGTTCTTGACATTTCCTCATTCTTAGCAGTTTCTTAGAGAGTACTTGAATAGGAATTCAGTATATGGTTATGCCTTAGTAACCATCGTGCCTTCAATTCTATTATTATTTATCTATTTTTAATACCAAATGATATATCTTCCAATTTTTAAGTGTAACTAAATTGGTTGAAGTTGTGAATTATGTTATTTCTAAAATAAAAAGTTCATTTACTGTTTTATAAGTTAACACGTTATCTTAAATGAAAGGTTTATTTACTATTTATAAATTAACATGAAAAATAAGCATTAAGTATTTTTGGTAGATCAAATATGTAAAACTGGATTTATCAAGAAAAAAATTATTTTATTAAGGTAAGCAATTTAAGATTTTTGTTTTATTAATGCATTTATAGAATAGTGTCCTTCCTTTCATTTCAGGTAAATCAGATGGGCATTTAATGGCCTCTGTACCTGCTGGAAATTCAGAGCAAGAAACTTCTTCAGAAAATAACTTTAATGAATTTGTGATGTTAAGGGATAAATTTAGAGATATATGTGAATTATACACGGAACATACTATTGACAAAGAAGGGTTAGGCACATTAGTGGATAAGATGAGTGAACAACCTATATTTTTTCTTGCTACTCCTATTGATGAAATGAATGATTTTTTATTTCCCTCAAAGCAAACTGAATCTTACAGTGCAAAAAATGAAAATAAAGAAGAAGTGCCACCACAAGTTTGTTATGATAGCTCAGATTCTGAGGATTTAACAAATATTCATGAAGATGAAACTAAAGATAAAATTTATACACTTGCTACTGAGCAGACTATTAATTCACTTATATCTGAGTATAAGAAACGTAAAAACCAACATTCCATGCCTTCTAAAATGAAAGAAAAGCTTTCACGAAAATGTAGCTCTTCTGCCAAAAGAAATTCATCAAACAGTTCTCTCCCTGGAGAGATTGCTACCCAAAGACGTAATTCTATAATGAAAGTATGTATTTATTTTTGACCATATTTATAATTTTCAGTTTATTGCTTTAAATAAAATCTAAAGTTTATATCAAGAAGCATGTGAAGGAGTAAAAATGTATCGTACTCTAAATAGAAATCACTGGCCTGCTAAGCAGTCTGAGTCAACAGAAACTTTTAGTTTGTATAGTTATGCATTTGATTGACAGTGTGGGTGCAATCATATTACATGGCAATGCAATGGATAGTTAAAGATCAATGGGCATTGAGTTTGCCTTGTTTCCTGTGTTTGGTCATCTGGTTAAGTTTTGTGGTTTCTCAAGATAAATACAAATGAAACAATACAAAAACATGAGAAAATTTCGTTTAAAGAGTCATCTAATTTTATTCTATGATTTTTTTTTTTTTTTTTTTTTTTTTTGTAATCTCTCCAATAGTTGGAAAATTCCTTTTTTTAAGAAAATTTATTCATGAAGAAGTTGTCAGTTGTCAGGATGCTGTATGACAGTCTCCAAAGAAATTAACTCTAGGCCATTCAGAGAATTTTGAAATGACCTGAAGTGATGAAAATCTGAGGAGCCAAGGTTTGGAAAATATGGAGGTTGACATAAAACGTCTCAGCCATACTTCAAGTCTTTATCTGACACTCATGTGGGGCCTTCTTATGGTGGAAGATAACACCTCAAGGCTTGGCCCGTTCTGAATGTTATGCTTTGATTTTGGTTTTTGAAACTGTCATTTGAGAACAGTATTTTTTGGAATTTATTTTCTGATATGGTGGCAACAATTCATACTATGCATTTCATCTGTATTTCTACCATACATAAAGCATTATGTTTTGGGATGCAGTTCATGTGGCTTACCACAACTTTTTTTTTGGGGGGGGGGAGAGTGGAACATTCCTCCATAGTGTCTATTTCTTATCTCCAATAATTAGACATTTTAAAAAAAGAGCTTCTTTATTTGATTTCAGCAAAGAATCACATGCCAAAATTAGAGTAGCATATTGTGTTCTGTTAAAGTATAGGGTATTGATATACTGCTGTGGCTTACATATCTAGTGTTCTAACAGTCGTGTTTTCGGATATTTAATTTCTGAGAATCCTTATAGCATGGATATTTAAAAATAGCTTTTTTTAATAGGTTAGACAGATAATTTGTAGCGAATTGTCATCTGGAGTGGGCATCATCTTTAAGGGCTGAAATTTCCACTCTTAAACTTCTCCAGCCATTTTTGGACTTTGTCTTCAGAAACAACACTTTGTTCACATACAATCCTGAGCAATCTGAATAGAATTTTTCTCGTGTTTGAAATAAAAGAGCATAACATGTTGAAAAGGAATTTTTCAGTCCTCCATTCTTAGCACTGCACTGAAGAAAATGTTATGTCACAACATATGCCAGAATTATGCAGTGTGAGCTGAAAAAACCAAATTTACACATTTACTTAAATTAAAGTGTGTCTTTATCAACAGTATTAAAATAATCATAAGAAAATTTGCCTTGATTTGAAAAAACACAGAAGCTTCTGGATGACTAAATAGTACTTGTATATCTTACATAGTTATTTGTCCAGACAAAAGTGGCAATAAATTAAAATGAGTTATATGGCACCATAAACAATCTGATGTTCCTTTGTTTGATGAGGATTATTTCCTTTTTGTAATTCTATTATGCAACTACACTACGAAAAGTTGTATTCAAAGGCTGTTACTGATTCAGAATTACTGTGGAAACTATGCAGATTCTTGGTCAAAGTTTCTGTATGTAAATTTTCATTGTGCTTCGAAATTTATCAGCAACTCATAGACTCACTCTTTATTTTAATATACTGCTATGTTCCTTTTGAAAGTTAAATAGCTCGAATATTTTAATTGTGTAATATTGATATATTTATTTATTTTATGTGGTTGGTTAGACAAGTTGGAAATAAGTATTTTCTTTTTAATGATTTAAATAAAAAAGATACTTTTGATTCTTGGATAAATGTTCAGCAGAACTCTAAATATCTTTTCAGAATTCTTCAGATTCCCTTCATTGCACTCCTAGTTTGTTTTCTGAGAAGAAAATTCTTTTCAGAACTATCTTAGCATATCAGCTAGCTGTAGTTAAAAAGAAAAATATTTTTCTTTTCCCATTGTTTTACTTGTCTCATTTTCTACAGTATTAGCTTCATTTTGAAAAGAATTTATACATGTATTTAAGAAATATTACATGTGTAGATTTTTGTGTTGTGCAGTCAAATTATAGAAAATTGTAATTAAGTTCTACATCTTGTTTTAAGTATATTGGGTTTTTTTGGACTATATAATTCTTTACATTTATTTGCAAACTCCTAGGGCCTAATTATTGCCCAAAATCATGGTATAATATTGTTCAATCATTATAATCTTGTTTTTACTGTTGATTAGAAGGTGAGCTGTGTAGTCAGTTGGAATTGCATATAAATTTAGTGTAAACACTTGTTTGCCCTATCAAAGAAATTATTTTTATTCATCAGTCAAAATATCTGGGAGAGGGGAAATTAAATCGAAATAAATTTTGTGGTAAAATATTTTAAGAGTTTATATTGATTTTTATTATGTGGGAATTTTTATTAAATTTCTTGAATTTTCAGCTTTCAAGTTTGTCATCTCACAACTTTGATGTCAGTTACTTTTTTCAGTTGCATTCTCATCTTTTATTTTAGCGATACAGAATTCAGAGGCTATCAAAGTTGTGCTGAATATAAAAACATGAAAAATTATTATTTTATCATCCTTCTGGGAGCATATACAGGAGGGGAGAAGATATTGTTTATACATATGTATATGTTAATTTTTCACAGTTGAGATTTGCAGTGGAGTTAATAATTGTGATGGTGTCTGTACTGACGGTGCATGGGCAGTGATGTGTGAGAATATTAGATTCTTATCAAAGATTAAAGCTAATGAATATAAGCAACTCATAATGAGATCTCCTCCAGTTTGATATGGATTTTCATAACAAACAAACAAACAAACAAAAAAACAAAAAAACAAAACAAAAAAAAAAAAAACTGAATTCTTAACTGTTGTTTATTTTTAAATATTTGCAAAAATATGAATTTGGATTACTAAACCTTATTGCTGCATGCAGAAGTTTAGTAAAAGCAGAAGCAAAAGAACAAAGTTTATGAAATTTATTACAGCTGAATGATGAAATGGTTATATTTTTAAGTGATTAGAATTTTATTTTTTCACAATGAATTTCTGCTTTTAAAATTGCATTATTATTAGATATTTTTGAAAAACTAGATGATGTAAACATTTCACTTCAAGTAAGTAAGTGAAAATATAATATTAAAAGTTTTGTTAAAAAAAGTGAACATATTGGAAAATAGACTGGAAAATGTATCTTTAACCCTTTGCACTTGAGGGGTGCCTCTCAGGCACCACTGCATGTGATGCGATAACTCGAGCGGTGCCTGAGAGGCACCATTCAAATCGATGTGTTTATTTGTGTTGACCTAAGGAATGTCGCTTGAGAGATCTACTTGGCCTTTTGTAGGTCATATTACAAGGTGTCTGAATAGCTATAAGGATGTCTTATCTCAAATAAAGGTTGTCTTTGCAATGCTTATGTGATTAAATGTTTAATCTCAAAAATACTTGCAACCACGGGTAGGACTCTGTCTTCGACATCAGTTCGAACTCAACCTTCTTGCCGATCGCAGTATTTCTTTCAAAGTTACTGAGCCCAATAAGTATGGAACACGATGAAGAAGTTACTTCTAGCGAAGATGAGTTTTAATTTTTCGGCAATAACGAACGAAATTACATCACTACATAGACAGCTTGCCCATGAGAACGAAGACGGAAGTGATAAAGATAGTGACGACGTTAGAGGAGCAAGAAGACGAAAAATCCGAATAATCGATAGTGAATCTGGAATCCAAAGTGATTGTACAGAAGAGACTGAACCTTCAGAATGGACAGTGTGCACAGAAAAGCGCCTCGAACGCAAAGGATTAAAAATGTTAACAGTTATAGAAGCTTTTATAACTGAATGTAATGTATCCAAATATTTAATTTGAAAAGTTAAAAATGATCATTTAAATTGTCTGGAGATACAAATGCAAAATACGTTCAGGTAAATTTTGATGTTGGAAAAAAATTGGGTTCATAACTCAACTGAAAAAAACTGATATCAAGCACTTATCATTAAACTATGAAAAAGAATTTACTGAGTTATTGAGTAAAACTGTTTTTAAATTTGGGTTTTCCTAAAAGTCTTCAATGGAATTTTTGGTTGGAGGTTAGGATAACATTTATAATATTTTCTGAAATGCCCTCAATATTCATGAGAAGCACTATTTTTAGCATTAACATTTATAAAACCAAAAATATGATCATTGTGCAAAATGTTGAAGAAGCTATACACCTTGTGGTATCAAATATGCATCCAAGATTTGAGTCTATACAAAAAAAAAGGGGGGGAAGCTGACCTAGGTCATAAGTATAAATATTTGGCTTTGTCTTTAATATATGGCATAATTATATTCCTATGTATACCAAAGAATTATTTTCAAATAAATATTTGGCTTTGTCTTTAATATATGGCATAATTATATTCCTATGTATACTGAAGAATTATTTTCAAATAAATTTTCATTATTACCTATTATGAGCAAATGTTTTAATTCATTGTCATAGTTTATATGCCTTTATATTTAAGGTAGCTGAAATAGTTGTTTGGATAAAAAGAGTTACAAGTATTTGCAAAACTGTGTTTCTAGGGTTTTTAAGTGATCTATAATAATTTGCCCAAATTTAAAGTTTTACAATTATTATTTTTTATGGCTTTTAAAATTGTCAATAGTTGAAAAAAATTCAAATGAATTGTTTTCTTTTAAGTCTAGTGATAAGTTGCTTGATGTAGTTGCTTATTTCAAAAATTTTGTTGGTGACAGTGTTGTTTAACAAAGGAATTTTCCACATATTTACTTCCTGGAAGTATTTCTACCATTTTAATAGCAGCAAGTAATAAGATATCTTATATGGG